TATTTGATCCAATAAACTACGTCAGTCAGCACAGTCACCACATCAACTTCAAAGTGTTTGGAACAAACATTCTAAACCAAGACCTAAATAACGAATCCAAGCCGAATTTATCGGATCGTAATCAAACAGAACGATCAACTCTCCTCTTCAAGAANNCCAATTCTGTAACACAAATCAACCCAAGTTTAAATCCAATAACCAAGAAACCTTCACCAACTGATTCCATTGTGTCACATAGCCACAAAGCTCTCCCAAGTCAAATCAAACCAATAACCCTCCTCAAAGCACGCTAACGTCCACAACAAATGGGGGGATATGAATATAATTGCGTTGAGTAGATATGAACTGCTTTTCGTTTTTAAAAAAATATACCAAAATTGATGTTTTTTTAGTTCCGTGCTGCATTGAAAATGGTTGTATTATCAGGAGATCCTCGAACGGACTTGACAAATTATACACAAATTGGTGAAGGTTCCACTGGTACTGTTGTAACTGCGCATCAGGTAAATAAATGAAGGCTTCTTCCTTTTGTTTCTGTTTACTTTTCATTTGAATGTTTTTTTTTCATATCGTATCTCATAATTACTCTCTATGTTTATGTGAAATGATTCGCGATGACGAAATCAAGCATCATTTTATATTTCACTACACCATATCTTTATTATCTTGTGTTCCTTGAAAGCATCCTGGCATCCTGATCTGAGATATCATCATTAGGCTGGAATAATTTACGCTTAGTGTAAGATAAAACAGATATTGCATTTCAGATTTCGACTGGAAGGAAAATTGCTGTAAAAAAGATGAACATTTTAAAACAGCAACGAAGGGAATTGTTATTTAATGAGGTAAAATTTCAGATTAAGCTTTCATGTTATTTTTCATAATTTCGTCAATTTTTCGTGATTTTCCTACTTCTCTTCATTAAAAACGGAAACTATTTTAAGGTTCTAATTATGCGTGATTACGAGCATCCTAATGTTGTTGAAATGTATGGCTCCTATTTGGTTGGTGATGAATTGTGGGTATTAATGGAATATATGGAAGGCGGAGCGCTGACTGACATTATCACCCAGATAAGGTTTGCAAAGATCGTTTTACATCAAAAATTTGAAGAAATTGTTCTACGTGCTACAGTTTTTTTGTAAGCTTTGATGAAATCCCTTTTTTTTGCAATCGATAAAAAGTGTCGTATCAGTTTTCTAAACTAAAGTATCTTTAATTCTTTACATTTTAACCACTTTTAATGTTTATCAGGATCGATGAACCAACTATAGCAACCATTTGTGTACAATGTTTGAAAGCGCTGGAATATTTGCATTCCAAAGGCGTCGTACATCGTGATATTAAAAGTGACTCTATATTGCTTACAAAAAATGGTGTGGCGAAAATTTCTGATTTTGGTTTTTGCGGACAATTATCAGTTGATATACCACAACGACGAAGCCTTGTTGGAACACCATATTGGATGTCGCCAGAGGTTTGCTTTTTTATTTGTCCATCGATTTTTGCTTCTTATTTGTGTTTTATAATCAACTGTTCACATAAATAACTGTTCATATTTACACCTTAAAGAAATCTAAATAGCAGTTGCTATCTTTGTTTTTTAACTTCATTCTTTCAAAGTGTAGAAATGGTTTCTTGATTTAAAAGAAACATGTGTAGGTAATAAACAGATTGCCATATGGTACCGAAGCTGATATTTGGTCACTAGGAATAATGGTCATCGAAATGGTTCAGGGAGAACCGCCACTTTTTAATGTGCAACCTTTGCAAGCAATGAAAATAATTCGTGATAATGCACCACCAAAGATCAATGAAACTATGAACGTTAGTATTATAATTTTTCTTTTTATAAGTTTAAAATAGTTTCTGAAAAAGTTCGTAAATTCTATGTAAGAAACAGAATTAGGATAAGTCGAATTTTATTTATACGGTTTATCCTCCATTTCGAATTTTTTAATAGGTTTCACCTGAATTAGCTTCGTTTATTTCGCAAATGTTGGTCCGCGATGTAAAGCAGCGTGCTACTGCATCTCTACTGTTAAATCATGAATTTTTGAAGAAAGCCGGCGATCCATCAATAATATGTTCAGTCATGAATATAAACAAAAATAATTGAAATAGTAGCTTCAGGTTCTTTATGAAAATGAGAAGAATCACAAAGTTTTTTTTGTTCTAGGCACAAGAAAAAATTTTTTTGTAATATATAATCTATTCATGAGTGTTTACGAACTTCTTGAGAATTAATATTGTGTGATAATTTAAATTTGATTGCATTATAAACATGTAGAGTAGAACTCTTGTTCTAATATAGGATTCTGCTGGAATGGTGAAAGACGAAAAACCATGCAATTTTGACTATGTAAGTTTGCTTTTATTGACGAAAAAAAATATGTGAGTTTACACATCTGTATTTGGTAGCGATATTTTGAGTTGTTTAAGACACTTTAAGTGAAATAATGTGATTTCTCTTACGGTTTTATGCTATTTAGACTGATCTGAGTTAATTTTTGGTCTGTTGGATTAACATTATTTGGAATATATGTGTTGATTTTTCGTTCTTTTTTCAATTATAACGAGCCTTATTAGAACAATTCATATTTTATTCAGTGGCATTTATTTTTATAATTCATAAATCACGCTTCTCCCAGACAGTGCATTTCTCGTCTTTCTATGAATTATATATTCTAGCTGTTTTACGTTGTTTAACATTTATTATGCTTTTTTACTTTTGATTCATAAAATTTACGATCAAATGTTAATATTTGCGATGATATTTTGGATTTTTATTTATGTGCTTGTATGCTTGATTTTGATTTTTCTTTTTTCATTATAAGTTTTTACTGATATATTTGTGGCATTGTTCTACTTCATTTCTTTCCTTTAAGTGCTCCGATTTTTTCCTATCTTTCTTTTCTGTTTCTTATTTCATCATAATGAAGTGCATTTATTTGCCTTAAAACTAAGTTTTAAGGCAATGTTTTATAAAGATATGCAAATACTTGTTGTGAGATTATGAATAATATTTATTTATTTGTAAATATTAGTTTGAATTCTCAGTACGACACGGATATATATCATTATTGTTAAGTTTTATTAAGATTGAAATTGCAAGTTTCTTGCGGTAAAGTCAAGAAGGTTACCTTAAAATTGTTTTACTTGTAGCATTATAATGGAATATTAGAACATCCAACGTTACCAACAGTATGACTGTAGGCCATTTTAAAGTAAATGTTCAAACATCCCAAGCATTTAAAGGACTGATCAAGTTTCTAATATCTTTTAAGATAAGATATTGAAATTTCAGTATATTTTTCTGACTTCCGATAACAATATAGCTCTGGGTGTAGGAGACATCAATTATTTGGGTCAAAGATGTGATATTGATGACAAGTTCCAGTTTCTGACATTAGTGCAGGTGAGCTTCGAGTTGAAGCAATAAATGATTAGCCGAATCCAGAATTGGGCTTTGTAAGTGAAGATTGAAAGTGAATGAAAACTTGGTTATTTGATGTCGAATTGTCTCTTATCATATATACAGCTATTGTAGAAGCAAAACCTGGAAATATTGGAAGATTCGATTACATTGAGATTATTAAGGGGTCAAAACTTCGAAATTGCAACCGTGATTTTTTACTCTAACTTTGGTTAAATCTAGATCAGGAATGCTTTTTGTATGGAATGAGATAGGAATTGGTGTAGGAGGAAAATTGTTCTAGCGATAGCATTACTTGGATGAATTTTACGAATGAAATTGATTCTCATTTTATTCAACGATGAATAATAATGATTGAATTGTTAGTTCAATCTTTTTTCCACATTCGAAATTGAATGATGTATAAACGATGTATAAAGAATAGTGATAACAATGTCATGTATAAAGAATAGTGATAACAATGCATCCATATTCTTAATTTATATGGTTAGTGATAATATCAATGTGATCAGAATCGTTCAAATATTGCATTTCGTCATGATAATTAGTAGCAAGGACGAAGATGTTGGATAGTTTCAATGTGACATAGTTATCAAGCAAATCAAGCAATTAGGCCAAAATACAGACAAAGGAATGGAAGATAGAAAAAAAGAAAAACATAAAAAATATATAACCATCAATATATTACCAGTATAACAGTAATAATTGTCGGATAGTGTTATTAGTTTAAAAAAAATTATTTGATTAATATTAATTTAGTAAAAATTAATGCAGCTGTTACCACTATAATATGTATAAATATTACGCTAACATTTTAATTTTTTTCTTTCCTAAACAATATGACAAAAAAGAGTGGTAAAATTGTTAAATAACAGTCTAATTGTTGAATTAAAATTGCATTAGGCAAAAATTATCAATATATGCGAATGAAATCGAAAGGAAATGGGATATATGATATTAAGACATGTTTATTTTGGCAAATACTGTAGCAATTGAAAAAAAAAAACCCGTTACTAAATACTTCAATGATATATTACAAATTAACAAAATAAATATTTAAAAGTTTTTTTTCTTTTAAACTGCACCACATGAAGTAATTTCAGTACTTATTCAACAATGCAATAATTTTGTTTTAATTTCATTTTAATTCTTTTTTCTTTCATTCCATTATTTAAAATGATTTCAAATTTTATAAATCTTTCTCATTTTATTTGCACGTATTCGGCGTTTTCTCACTAATCAATCTGAACAAAAAAAAAAACGACAAATTATTTCCTAATGATTTGAAATGCCACTGAGTTAAAGCACGAAATGAATTTTCAAGGATGAGAATAAAAACTATCAGATAGTAATATGTGTTATTATTATTTTCGTAATAGAAATCGCCATTTTTGATTCAGAGCAAAATTTTTTCCGGTCGTATCATAAGTATTCTGCAATAGAAATATGATATCATAAACGATTATAATAGCAACAAAGTAATATGTTATTACTTAAGTGCCATTTTCTAAAAGGAGTGGCACTTGTAAGTATATTCTGAAGTAATGCTAAAGAATATCAATATTGATTATTTTTTGCAATTATAATCAGAAATGTATTTGTCGTGTTTCAAAAAAAAAAAGAAAAAAGAAATCTAAAAAAAAATTACCATAGCTAATTACCTACTTCAAAAGTTACCGTAATTGATTACATTTCCAAATAATTAGTTACCTGCTCTTTGTTAACATGCGGTTTCGGAGATTGCGGATCTTTCTGACAAATATATGCTGCAACTACCCGACAGCAACTTTGAAACCATTCACCATTTGTAACATTCATTTTAGTGCATGGCTTTATTGATTTTGTTACGGGTTTTTGACCTGCAAATTTTAATTTTAGTAATACCTTTATGCAACTTATTAGTTTTTTATAGTATAAATTTAAGAAAAAACATAAAATCTAACAAAATTTATTTTTATTAGTAATTTATGAATGCTTACAAATATGAGATAAGATCATTTATAGAAGTAATGATGATTGCCTATGTGACAGTTGGAACAGAACTGTTGAAATTACGACTAATCATTTATGACTTTTTGGCTAAAAAGATAAAAAACATTTTAATACGCAAAAGTTTTAGTGGAATTTATTAAAAAATTTTCAATTTACTAAAATAATAAATCACAACTAAAAATAAACCATTTTTCCAGCGATTAAAATTGAATAATGTTTTGTCAGACCATTCGAATTTGGTCGATTTTCCGAATTTCGCAGAACCAAGCCACACTTCGGATCCATCACGGGCTATTTCTAAAACGGTGGAAAATTTGCAGAATTAATAACCAAAACTAAATTAGAGATTTTAGTGCTACAATTCAATTAAATATTGGATTATTCTGAAAGATAAATAGCATACCGTGTCATTTATTCATCGATAACAACGATAATGTTAGTTTAGAAATTTGAAGTCTGAATTATTAATTTGTTCAGGTCTACATTTTTTAGCAAATTTTTAATTGAAAATGTTTTTTACTTGGTTATATAATTGGCCGATAAAGTGATTAGTGAAATAGCTTTTCTTTCAACAAGCAATATAGAATTAGAAAATTACGATTTTTGCAAATATATAAGTTATTTACAAAAATTCGCAATTCCGATGGTATTGATGATTAATTATCTTCCATACTGATGATGACCTTAATAATATTGTAGTAATTTCTTTTTTTAACTTTGCAATATCGAAACTTTTTTATCAATAAGCACCACTGTTAGTAATGCCAGTGTTAATTTTTGATAAAAATTTCCGCATAAAAATTGTACTTTAAAAAAAAATAATTTTAACTGTGTTTATTTAACAATTGACCCAAAAAAAATTTTTCTTATTACAATTCCTATTCTAATTCATTTCACATATAAATAAAAAATAAAACAAACTTTTGTTTTACCAAATATATCATTTTTAAGTATTGATTTCGAGTTCATTTGAGAGAATAAAAATGACACTCTCAATGTTGCAATTTTAAAAAAAAAAGACAAAAAATACATTACCTTTAGCAAATTTATTTTCCCTCAAATTATGTATTGATAATAAATGGCTACGTTGCATCAGACAATGAAATTCAGCTTCAGTCCATGTCATTGCTTTAGGAAAATATTTGTAACATTTTCGAGAATGAGGTGAAAATCGCCATCCTTCGTCACATGTAGCGCACAATGCAGCTGCAAATAATCTACAAGTCAGAAAATTCGTGATATCTTTTTTTGAGGCTTTTTTTAAAAATTTTCTTCATTATTAATTTTTATGAATAATTTTTGTGTATCAAACTGGTGTGAATATTGAGTGATATGCTTCATAAAAGATCAACCTATATTTGTAAAAGAAGGACATTACTTCCGGAACAAAGAAGGACATTACTTCCGGAACAGCTTTTCGGTTATTTTAATATCATTTAATTTTTATTAGTAAGCTTGACGAGTGACAACTCCTAGTCAATGGACTACAGAATGATCATGGTTGCTTTTTCATTAAAGAAATTAATCAAGTCTATTGGAACAGAAACTCGAAATTTAGTCCATTAAAAAATTTACCTGCTGTAATTTCATGTCCCAGTTAGGTTTAAATGTCAAATTTGATCTAAATTTAAAATGCTTAAACTCCAAATTTAAATTTTTCTCTTCTTCATTACTTGCACACAGTGTGAAAAATTTTATTACAATACAATGTTACTTATTATGCCAAGCAAAAATAATTATGAAAGTGCATATCGTTAAATTAATTATTTAATCATAACGACAAATAATAATTTCATATTTCAGAATATTTTGTAAGTTTACTATATACAATAGTAATACATTATTTCAATTATTTTATTAAAATGTAAGATAAATTTTTAAACTAAAAAAAAATTTGCAAAATGATTTTTTTAGTCTTTTCTATTTATTACATAGGTGATTGCAAAAATAAAAAATTTATTGAAAATCTTTAAATTTTTGCTAATTTAAATTTTTACTCTATCAATGAGTTTAAACAAGGAAAAAAAATCGTGAAAAGAATCGATTCTTAAAAACAATATTTTCATTTCTACATGTTTGATAACTTTGGCAAATTCAAATAATTTCATCTAAATCGATCAATTATTATTACGTTATATCATAAATTACTACATATACTTTTTTTTTTGAATTGCTTCAGATAACTGATTGAATTTAGTTTAAATTTAGTTTCTAACTCAAAACTAAAGGAACAATTTAATTACGTATAAAAACCATAATGACATCGATCTGATTATTGATGCTTCACAATTACAGATAAGAAATGATAATCTGTAGTTTTGGAGATTTTTTAATTATCAATTGGAAAAAAAAATAAAAAGGGAAAGAAAAAAAATCGTACCAGTAAAACATGCCATAAATATGATGGTGCTATAACTGTTCATCATTTGTTAGCTAATGTGTATTTTTTTACTTCACTGAAATTAAATTTTAATAATGTTTATTATCTTCAATTAACAATAGTAATCATAAATGCATAAATAAGATATCAATTATATGCATAGGAATCTTCAACAAAAATATATCAATTATTTCTTTTTTTTTTGGAAATACAGAATAAACTGATAAGCATAAAATATATTAGATAATAAATATATTGAAATTTTGTTAACAAATACAAATTTTGATAATGGATATCTGCAACTAAGCGAAACTATGATAATTTAAAATTAGAAATTTTGATCGATTATTTAAATATCGGATATAATCGAATCATATAATATATAAATTCTAATATCGATGGTCCATATTTACCATATTAAAATGGTATAAATTTGAACGTTAAATAAATATCATTAAATGAAACTGTAGTAATCAAAAATAAAACAATTAAATTAAGGACTTTTAATACAAAATGAGTAATTTCGTTCTTTACAAAGTGAACAAACTGCACTGAACTTCCTTTGGTACTCGGTATTTATAACTTTTCATCGTTCTTTTTCTACGATGTGTCCGGGTAGAATTACTTAATAAATTTAAAAGAGAAAAGGAAAATGATGGGACAAAAATTATTTTTCTTGTCCATCTTTGCCTTTCATTTACCAGTGATCGACGTTATTCATTAATTTCATTTTGATCATTTTTTTTAAAAACCAGTTTATCTTCTTTTTTTTCTTTCATCATTCGACGATTTCCATTGCTACTATATTATCTATAGCCGGAAATACTTTTGAAATTTCATTTCTCTTCATTTGTTCTAATCATCATGTTCATTGTCGTCATTATCATTATCACCATCATTATCATCACCATCATCATTAGCGCTACCCATTTTTCTAACTTATTCCTTTACTTCCCATTGTTCAAATTGCTTTTTTCTTGCAAAATGATGACTATCCTCGTTTCGGCAAATACACTTTTTTTTCTGTCCTTTTTTCTTTCTTTTTTTCTTTCTTTCTCTCTCTTTTGTCATTTCCTGCTAAATTTTAAGAGTAAATTGAGGAAGGCTATCTAATATTCAAGCATTTTTTTCCATATAATAAAATGCAGCAGAATTCATTATTGTTACTTACAAAATACATGATAATATTAAAAAAAAAAAAAATGAATAAATTGAAAAAATTTACCAACGTTAACAAAAATTGCCCATATAATTTTGTAAATTTTATTTACTGTGATACCACCCTAATGGTTAACATAAATAATGATATGATTACCGTGATAATTGTTACGGTTCATAACTTTATATATTATTATTACTGATAATTGTGGTGGTTTTTATAATATATCAACGTAGTGATCACAATTATAAATTATCAATGCAACTTTATTGATGAGAAACTTTATTGCATGACAGTTAAACACGTAATATTTGCAATTAATTCTAATAAAATAAACATTACTATGATTATTTCCGATAAAACAATTATTGAAAATTACTGAGAGTTCAAATTTATCAATGAAATAATAGCGGTGTTATTGAAGAAAGATGGGATACTTGCAATTAATATGATAATTATTATAATTTTGCAACATGTGTGAAATATTAGCATAATGATTAGAATCATAATTTATTAAGCTAAAATTGATTTATTTGTTCGTTAACATCTTGTAAATTACTATATATCATTTGAACGTAATTATTAGCACTGAATAGAAAATAAACTGCTGCTTTGTTTATATCTTATTTATAAAAAAAAAAGTTATTTTATCATGTATGTTACTTACTGTATTCGATAACTGATAAATATTTGCATCGCATATCGCAAACATTTTCGAATATTTTATAAATGCTCAAATTATAATTGAATTATTTATTAATAATTGGAATCTTTTTTTCCTGCCTGAAGCTAAATTATAATTTGTTCTATCATGCATATTTTAATTAGTGGGGTGTTTTGCCTGCTGCGCAAATACGAATTAATTATTTTTATCATGATCATTTCTTTTTTTTAAAAAAAAAAAGAAGGAAAAAATGCAACATGAGAGGGTGAAAAGGAAGTGATGAATGTTTAAATGTAATTTAAATTAAAATTTGATTTCCTTGAAATGTGACAATTAAGTTTAAAAAATAAAAATGATTAAAACATCACTTAATCACTTTTCATTTCCTTAGACCGTTCATAAGAAAATAAATGCAATATGATACAGTTTCATCCTCATAATATTTACATCATTTAAAATAAAAATAGGATGAAATCAAATTTGTTACTACACATACATAAAATTGATTATTCAATTCCAGTAATTATGTTGATGAAAATACTGGTAATCAAAACAAATTCATTGATATTCTATTCAAATCATCCTTCCCATCAAAAAATTTTGTAATATAAAACATTGTATTCCATTCCAGTCTAAATTCATATTTCAAATTTAGCTTCAATTTTGATCTAATAATTTGTTACTGATATTGGAATGGTTTGCAGCATGAAAAACCTGAAATCACACACAGAATGTCTTTGAACGGTTTTTTTTTGCCCTTTTTGTTGTTTAATTAACACTAGTAATTAGCACAAATTTAAACTTTCTTCCTGCTTTTTTTGCCCTTTCATATAGATGAATAATAATTTAATGAAAAAGAAAAGTTTGCAAAAAAAGTTGCCAATCTTTCAGTCTTTTTTCTGATCAAATCAGTACTTTTTGATCTTTTGCTTGCATTTTTGGGATTTTTTAATTTTTGCTTTAATCATTACATTTGCCAATTTTCATTCAGTCTGTTATTTTTTATACAAAAAATTTTAAGAGTAATTTTTTTATGAGGAACAAAAAAATTGTTTAGAAAATTTTTTCAATTG